AAGGAACTGAATATGAGGCAACGGTGGTGGTTGGAATTTATGAAAGACTATGATATAGAGATCCATCACCATCCGAGCAAAACTAACGTGGTAGCAGACGCACTAAGCCGAAAGACAACAAGAAGTTTGGCGTGTACTCTCATTTCCCGCAAGATCAATGGGTTGCTCGCCAATGTAACCGTGGAGCCTATATTGATTGAAGAAATTAAAATGCGCCAACGGGAAGATAAACTTTTGAAGAAAAGGTACGAGGAACAAGGAAAACGCCTGATCCTGATTTCATTATAAGCAATTGGATGCTGGAATTTCAGAATCGAATTTGCATACCCGACATCCCAGAACTCAAGAAGAAGATACTGGAGAAAGCTCATAACTCAAGATTTGTAGTCCACCCTGGCAACACAAAGATGTATCACGATCTGAAGAAACACTACTGGTGGACCGGAATGAAAAGAGGTTTAGCAAGCCATGTTCCAAATGTCTGCATTGTCAGGGTGTTAAAGCAGAACATCAGAGACCTGCAGGGCTACTGCAACCACTCTGTATTCCTGAATGGAAATGGGAACACATTACTATGGACTTCGTGGTCGGGCTACCACAGTCTTTTTCAAAGAATGATGCAATATGGGTTATAGTAGACCGATTGACAAAGTCAGCACATTTTCTACCAATCAAAATCATGTATCCTCTGAATAAGTTTGCCACTTTATATATCAAGGAGATTATTCGGTTACATGGTATCCCAGTATCGATCGTGTCTGACCGAGACCCTCGTTTCGTGTCTCACTTCTAGAATAAATTGCAAGAAGCTTTAGGAACTACACTGAAGTTTAGCATGGCCTATCATCCACAAACTGATAGGCAATCTGAAAGAACAATCCAGACATTGGAAGACATGTTATGTGTATGCGTGTTGGACTTCAAAGGTAACTGGGATGAGCACCTACCTTTGGTGGAATTCGCCTATAACAACAACTATCAGGCAAGCATTGGAATGGCACCGTACGAAGCACTGTATGGAAGGAGATGTCGATCACCTCTATGCTGGACGAAGGTCGGGGACAGGAAATTATTAGGCCCCGAAATTGTGCAAGTCACCAGTGAGAAAATCCAACTCATCCAACAGCGGATTTGCACTACTTAGAGCCGCCAGAAAAGTTATGCAGATACTCGGAGACGAGACTTGGAATTTCAAGTAGGGGATCATGTGTTTCTCAAAATCTCCCCAACAAGAGGAGTGATCCGGAAGCTAAACCCACGTTACATCGGGCCATTCGAGATACTGGAAAGAATTGGTCTTGTAGCCTATCGCTTTGCACTACCTCCTGAGCTATCTAATATCCACAACGTGTTTCACGTTTCAATGCTCCGATGGTATCTCCGAGATCCAGAACATGTCATCAACTATGAGAACTTGGAAGTTCGAGAGGATCTCTCTTACGAAGAACAATCAGTGCAGATTCTCGATCGTCGTGATCAAATTCTCCGAAACAAGACCATACCGCTGGTAAAGGTCTTATGGCGAAATCATCGCATCGAAGAAGCTACGTGGGAAACCGAAGGACAAATGTGAGCTAAATACCTACACCTCTTTGAAAGTTAAGGTACGTCAAGTTTGGGGACAAACTTCTAATTAGAAGGGAAGAAATGTGACACCCCGAACGTTTAATTAGGTACCATATAAATATTTAGAGTTATATATAATTATGGTTGCATGTGATGATAGACTATTAAATAAATAAAAATATAAATCTAATTTGACATTAGATTATCAAATATAGAATTAAGTAAAAAAAATTATTTGGGAATTAGTATTTGGGAGCAATTAACACACTGGCCTTGTTTGGTAGAGCTGTGGGAAAGTACTTATAGTTTATGCCTTAACAGCTTATAGTTTATAACTATGAACATAAGCTGATTTCTGATTTATAAATTAAGCATCTCCTGCCCCACTGAAAATGAAAAAAAAAATGTTATAAACTAGTTGCCCATCAAGGTTGTGAACTTCTGCCCAAAAGAAAAGAAAAACAAAAATAAATAATAAAAGTCTAAGCTAGGGTTGGCCCAGCAAAACCCTTGCAAATATTGGCCCAAGCAAAACAAAGGCCCAAGTATATATAGATATATATTGAGGAGATTTAAACTTATCTAAATCTGTGAATTTGATCTACAATTAAGGCTCAAATCTACTAGCTTAATGATGGCCCCATATAGAGAGGATACGTGGCACTCACATCAAGGCTCGGGTTGCTGTATAAATAGGGGCAAATGTGTTGTAAATAAGAGAAGGAATAAAAAAAAACGACAGAAAATAAAGGAAAGGAAGAGTGAAAAACCGAGAGGAAGAAACTTATAGTAGGGAGGTTCTGATAGTAAAGTAAGGCTAAGGGTTATAATTAAGGTGAGCTATATTATGTCTTGATTTACCATTATATGCTTTATGAATGTTTTGAGTTACCACAACTTAGTTTATACAAGTTATATTTTATTAAGTTATATTAAGTTATATAAATAAAAGTTATGTTTTATAATTATTTCAGTTACGTGGGTTACTTTCTAAACTCTATTTACTAAAAAGGAAACCCATGGATATGTTTGTTTAAATTTTAGTATACATTTGACTATAACCTTATACACAATTATGTTTTGTAAATACCACCACGGGAGTCCCATGCCTTGGGAGACTTAAATAACCACTGGCCTCTGTTTGACCACTTTGTGGTCCTCTGTTTGTCATGGATCCATTGACCTCTGTTCTGACTGTCACTTCTGCGACCTCTGTTCTATTCTGTTTTATACCGTGGTTATGATTATTTATTTACATGATTTCTATATTCTGCCACTTTAAATAAATTGTCATTTTCAATTAAATTATGCAAATATTTATCCATGGTTATTTTGTATTCCCTATACTCTTGGCATAATATTTCTCACTCTGCTGTGTGCTTATAGCTGTTACCCTTTCAGGTGACGAGATGTAAGGGAGACTCATAACCTTACAAAATGGAACCTGCACATGGACTGATGTTGAATCACTATTTTATCTTTCTTTTTTTTATATTTTTGCTCCCTTTTGTTTCTATTCGGGGCTGGTCACTGAATAATAAAATAATGAAAGCCCTAGAAATGTATTTCCTCTTTCTTAAATAGTAACATGACGTAAAATTCCTGTTTACTTATTTTTATTTCCGCTTGCGCAGTTTAATTTGCTACGAATAAGAATAAGTTAGTAAGTTGCGATTCCAACCCTAAGCCTATGGGGTTGGGTCGTGACAGGTTGAGTTCCCCTTTAAAGCAGATTTTTGCATTGCATTTTTGCCAGACTACACGTGCAGGCTAACCACATTGTATTCTGAAAAAATTGCCCGGAAGCCCGCACGTGCGGCCAATGCCCCCGTACATGCGGTTTTCAGGACAGGCTCGAAATTGTTTTCTTTTCGTTTTTCAAACTTGCAGGCCTTTATTTGCATGGTTTTCACATGTTTTTCACATGCATTTGCATATCATAAGCATGAAATAAATGAGAAAACGAATTGAACTAAACGAATGAACAAGTAATGTTGAACCGAACCGAATAGGTGTAAAAACTGATGGAATGAATTGAATATGTGTTGAATTGATGTGCTATGAATGTTTGTGTTTGTAGGTCAAGGTTTGTAGACCGAGCAGACGGTTCTGGAAGCCCACTGTGAGTAACATTACTGTAAAGATATGTTTATATGAAATATCTTTGAAATGCTATTTGATAAGTTATGTTTTTCTAAAATGGTATTTTGTGAATGTGAACGAATATCTGGTTTTGAATCTACTATGGCATCCAAGGAATGGTTCCAAGTCATGGGGGACAGCATGTTAATGCGAGTCCATGACAAATAAGTGATTACGAGATCTCGTTAGCCACGTGATAACGTGGTGATGTGTTTAATCGGTATCCGAAACCGATTACTCTAGTCAGAAGACAATATGATATGTTCTGTTGGATGTACCGCTATTATATTTCGATATGAGAATAATTGTGATATGAATCGTTTTACGAATATGATATGTTTGGAATTCGTTCACTAACTTTTTTACTTTAATACTATTCACTCGGTTATAACTCACTATTTGTATACATATGTATAGGCAAGTGTCCTGGAGATCAAACCTAGAAGGATTTCTTTAGCTGAGCCACTCGTTGAAGCCCTACTGAGTTTTTGGAACCTCTAAGTTGGGGGCTAGGTCGAGAAGACCGTTGTATAATTTATGATCATATTGTTGAACTTTTGTTATATGTATATATGTACATGAATGATTTTTTTGTTTATGATATTATGTATGTATTGTTCAGTGGGTAATTTAATGTTTATATAGATCTGAATTTGTACATATAGATACACAGCTCAACGGACTATTTTTGTTGTCTTTATGTTATAAGCTTTCGTTAGCCCCAATTATTTGATTTGTACAGGAAGGTCTTGGGTAATCTCGAATTGCTGGCTGATTACGATGCTAAATCTATAGGGGCGGGTTTGGGTCGTGACATTTTTTGAATTATGATTGAGTTTTGAGTGGTGTTTTGAAAGATAAGTTTTTTAAATGAGTTTTAAAAGAAAAAATTTGTTTTATTATGAGTTTTAAAAAAAAAATTACTTGAAAAGAGAAAACTTGTTTGGTTATGAATTTTTTTAAAAAATTTGGGTTATATTTTGAAATTGTTTTGGATTTATTTTTTTTTAATATTAAAAAAATTTCTTATTTTAATTTTTTTTAGGGTAAATATTTTTTATTGTAATTATTTTGTTAATTATATTGTTTGACTTTAATAATGTCTAAAATACATTAAGGGATTCTTTGGAATGATTTAAATAAGTATATTTTTTAATTTTTTACGAAATAATACCCGGGCAATGCATGGCATAAATAAAAATTAATTTAAAATTTTGTTTTAAAAAATGATAATGAATCTGTTTAAAATATCTTAGAATATACTATTAATAATATTAAAAAAAAAAAAAAACTCAAGTGAATTATTTATTTATTATGTCATTAATGCTGTACTATGGTGAGCTAACTATCAGGGTAGTCAAGTGATTACCCTAACACCGCCCCTGAATAGTATCGGCATCAAACAAAGTCAACAAAGTGATCGCGAAAGTGAGTTCTTACTAAATAAATAAATAAAATAAAAAAAAGAAGAAAAAAGAGCAGCCTTGAGAATCCTATTTTTAAGCCCAGCATTCACCTGTTGGTTTTATTAGGCACTAGTAATTACAGAAACTGCTTCCATTTTTGAAGTTTTGTTTTTGCTAAGAGAGCCGCCTACAGAGGGTGAGGCCATCGGCAATGGAAACGTGAGATAAGTCGACACGAGAATCTGAAGCTAAGAAGCTGTTCAACTTTCTCAGAGCATCCCTTGCAGAGTCCTCTGCTTCTTCTCCATACTTGGAAGGGACAACACTGCCATTCCACAAAGTGTTGTCATATGCTATGATGCCTCCAATCTTAACCAATTTCAAGAGGAGCTCATGGTAATTCATATAGTTTTCCTTATCAGCATCCACAAATGCAAAGTCGAAAGACCCTTCTTGTTTCTCCTGGCATTTGTGCAGAACTTATAAGGTCAGTCTCAGTCATCATCCTATTTGTATCTCTCACCCATGTGCAGTTAGTTGTTTCTCATCAAAAAACAAATCTTTGAGGTTTGGCAAACATTTATTTATTTATTTTATTTAAAATTTTAAAAAGTCATGTTTGTTTACTTTTTTAAGTGTTTATAGAATAAAACGTTTTAAAAAAGAAAAAAAAGATCAGATTTGAAAGTTGGAGAGCCATATACTTAATCTCTGTAGTCAGTAAATATATTAAGCTCCATACATTCATGTGGTGGGAACAAAGTTGCAGAGCCATGGACTTACATTTGTGAGGAGGTTGTTTAGAACAGTCATGCCATCGGATTGAATGTAGTTGATCTTATGCTCCACACCAACCTTCTTAATAAATGGTAGCCCTACCTCGTAGGCTTCTCTCCTTGGGTCTATTGCTATTACCTGCAGAAACTAATTCCATTTTTTGTTTCTTGGGGTTCAATATTTGCTATAATAGCGCTACAAAATCAGACAAAATAAACAGAGTACCCAAAATTTTAAATGTGTGGATCAAGTACAAAGAATACATAACATTTCTATTTATTGCTTTACTTAAAATGGAGACTTGTTTCTATGGACACAAGTTCTGACCATTGAATTAACCCTAGTGATTATACTTGCAGATTATTTATGCCTTAACTAACTTGCAACAAGTTAAGAACGAAAAAACTTGCCTTGCCATCATGTGGGAGAGCAAGAACGGTAGTAAGGAGAGAATACCCAGTGAAAACCCCAATCTCCACTGTCTTTTTGGCGTTCATGATCTTTAGAAGCATTGAGATTAGTTGTCCTTCATCAACGGTCACACTCATTAGACTCCTACAAGTCAAATTTCAAAGGGTTAATTACAACTTCCCATTGTGTTTGGATCAAAGAATATTTTTGAATTAGCAGCAGAATTTAAAAATAAAAAATAAAAAAAATAGGAGGGGACAGGACAGTTGAAAACATACCTTTCCTTGTACTTATTGACAGTGGCCTCTCTGAGTTCCTTGAGTAGTTGATGCTCTCTGGGATATGCACTAGTTTCCAAAATGTACTGTAATATGCATAAATGGTGTTTTAACAACATGTTAGAACTATGAAATGCCAAAGTCTGGGATAGCCAATTGTTTTCCTATGTTTTTTTTTCACTCGTTAGTCATATATGCTTTTTAGTTAGTTTGGAGAGTGAGCCTTTGAAAAATCAAATCCTAATAGGAGAAAAATAGCTATGGTAAGACACTCTAAAAAGGTCTATACCATATGCTCTCATAAAAATAAAAATAAAAATTTGTATTATGAAGTATCAAATGGTATTCTTGGCTAATGAGAACCTAGCTAATGAGAAACTGACATACACTAAAGCAGGTTATCATTTGTCTCTTAAATACTTAACAAATTTGAGTTTAGTATGTTCTATTCGTAAAAATTTCACTACGTGATTAGTTTGGAGCATCACATAAACAACACTGTATGGTGCTAACCGCAATAGTTTGTAACTGTTAGATTTATTTTTCTAGTGTGGCCTAATAGCCTACATATTTTCTACATGTTTTAATTTATTTGGACTCCACAAATAGATAAAGCCAATATTTGAGATCAAGTTCAGTAAATAGAATTTTAATATAATCACTCTTCTAAGATAAGAAGGAAACCTTGATGGATTAGGAATTCTTCTGATAGAGTTATCTGGCCCTCTTCTCTCCTCTATATAAGGATGGGTGACTCCCCTTTTATATCATGAGTATTTTTCCATCACTTTAAGTTTTATAGTCATCCTAATTAACAGAGACAGAGAGAAGAAGGTGAGTCAAAATTAAAGGTTCAACTCTAAGGAGTATTTTCTCAACTTCTCTAATTCAATGACTGACAAAGGTATATTCGTTTTATTCTTAAGTTGTATTGAATTCAAGATCCTATAAAGTTTAATTCCTGTATTATTAAATCTTACAGTAACAATAATCTTCGTAACATAATTACCATGGATATGAATGAACTCTTTTCTCCCCCGGTGTGGATATGAGTGAAAGTAAGTTATCCAAATTTCACAATTTGGACCAATTTGGATTCCATTTTGTTAGGGTGCTGCTTGGAAAGTCCATGAATAGGACCTGAGGGACTAACATTGGGCTCTACTCAAATTGAACAACTTTCGACCAATTGGATCCAATTATGATGGGCTAATGAGTTCAAACAACCCTTCGTGAAAGCAGCCTATTCCAGCCGCAATTGGATCAAACCTTGAAAAAACTACCATCCTTGACAATGGTTCTCCACATAATCTTTTTGAATGGTGACAACATTGAAAATTTTTAAAGCAGTAAGTTTAAAGGTCTGTTTGGTGCAGCTGTATGGGATGAAAGTTGATAATAAAAAGCATAAGCTAAACACACCCTCTTCCAACTTTTTGATAATCGATTTTTTTCAACTTACCTCTTAAGTTTATAAGCAGAAGTAAAAAATTTTGATATAGATTTATAAATAGTAAATAAAACCCTATTAAGCTCCAACAAGCTAAAACTAAAAGATAGAAACAGAATTTGTACATTGAAAGTAATGAACATGTTGGTTAGTTCACTAAACATTAGAAAATACTGAAAAAGCAAAGAAAGAATTAAACCAACCTTTGTGAGGGCTTCACTTCGGAGGATGTTCTTCATCTTCAAGTCTCCCATGGCTGCAAAGCTTCTCAAAACTCACAATTTTATTTATTTATTTCACACTAAAGAACAAATTTAATGAACAAACAAGAAAAGCTAGTTGTCAATAAATTGATCATGACTCAGAAGATGGAGGTTTTAACACTTGGGGCCTCTTTTCATAAATGGTCAGCACGTATGCACATGCATAAAATCAATATCAATGTATATATATATATATTTAATAATAACTCAAAGATGGAGGTTGTAACACTTGGGGCCTCTTTTCATAAATTGTCAGCATGCATTTGTGCACATGCATAAAATCAATATCAATATATCTATTTTTTTAATAATAACTGTTTGCCCTATATTTTGCATCAGCCTTGCTACTTCTATAATTATGTTTTTAAATTTTATAATTTAATTCAAATTTTATTTTAATTTTTATTATTTTAATTTAAATAATTTTTTCTCTACAATTTAAATTCATTTTTAATTTAGCCTACATTATAAAAATGAGCAAAAATTTATAAGAACGAAATAGAAATACCATGAGAGAAACTCACCTTCTTAATTACCTTCAAGAATGTTCTAGTGTTTTGGACGTGAGGAGTACGGAGAGCGACGAATATTTCCTCCCCATACAAGTATTACTACATAATTCTTGTAATGTGTTTTGTATGCATATCATTCTTGAAATGGATCCTATTTTAGATTCTAAAAATTCATGATTACTTAACACATTAGTAAAATTTTTATATAAAATTAATTAGTTTGTACTATTATATATATATATATATATATAAAACACTAGTGGGTGTGTGTCTACCCGATGAGTGTGCTATTAAATTTGTAAAACATAAATTTTAATTTTGATTTAAAAATATATATGTTGTGGGTTATTGAAATGGTAATGATGTTTCTCAAATCCAACATCATAGCTTTAAACCCCATTCACTTCAATATATAAAATTTTGTTTTAAATAATTATTATAGGACTATTTTGGAAAAATTCAAAATATGAGACACATTTGTGTCAATATCATGAGAGGCCTCCACATATTAATAGTATAGATGGAAAGATAATACTATAGATCACATATATATGCAGGAAATTACACTTTTGTCGACTAAAAATGGCCCACGGCCCGTGAGGGATTCAAAGCCTACCCGCAGTCCAAGGTGGGCCTGGCTCAAGTCCAGCCTGAGACCCTAGGCCATCATTTTGAAGTCCAGCATGCTTGGCCTAATCCATTGGCCCACTTAAGGGCGGGAAATGGGAGCATTGAGATATCAGTAATACATTTTGGCCATAAGATCTTGGGGTGAGAGAGAGAGAGGAGTATTTGGGTGGGAACTAAATTGTTTGGTATATTTGAGAGAACTGATCTAAACCATTGATATACATTTAGGATTGATTTAGACCATTAAAACCAAATGTATCTTTGATATATTTTGGATATTTTCAAAAATCGTCCTACCATATTACATAAATTTAGATAGTAGTACTTTTCACACGTGTTACCTTATTAGGTCGAGTAAACTACCGCGTCTTGTCTCTAATGGAGCATTCACATCTTCATACTGAGGGCTAGAACCGTATGCTTGATCATTCCCTTCAACATCTTTGTCTACCAAATGAATCCCACATTTTTTTACCTCATTTTCCTTGGAAGCCCATTCAGCTTCAAATTGAACTCCATTCTCATTCATCATCCACATTCGTCACTGATAAAACTTGTATTTCTTCTCTTGTAAAGTAACGCACTCCCACATTTTCAGATTTGCTGCCAAGTGTAGGACGACGGTGTTTTCGAATAATAAGTAATGTTTTAGGCCTCTTGTGAATTCTATAATTATAGAATATAATCTTATTAAAACCATGGAATAAATCATAATCCGTGATTCCAACATTGACAGTAACGATATAACTTCCTAACAAGCTGCTATTAAACCAATTTGGAGGCAACTGCAAACATATCGAAGACCCATTACTTTGATGCTTGAACCACTTCGGAATTTTGCTTCCTGGAAAATTAATTTCAAAACCATCTGTCTTACGAACATGACTTCCCTGTATAATGAAGATTGGTCACAATTAATGGATGGTGCTTACACCAGAGAGAGAGAACTTGAAACTAAAGGATGACGAAATTATGCAGAATTTTTGTTAAATCTTTTTGGAGTCTTCGTGTTTTTTTATAAGATCTCTTATTATTGTATCGTCCATTAGTTCACATTTTATATCACCAAAAAGCCACAACCTACTACGTTGTCTAGGCTCTTTAGGTGATTCCTGATGAACAATATTCCTCTCAAAATCTTGTATCAAATCATGCATGAACAACACACCGTGTGAAATAGTAATGAGAGACTTTTCAACGAGGCGCTGTATTCCAAGAATGGGTTGGAAGCCAAGACTTTCTGAGATTGTCGTTACAGAATTTTTGAATTTCCATTTGAAAAAAAAGAGAGCAATATATAGGAATATTTCCCTATCTTCCTCAACCAAATCATTGTAACTTATTTTGAGCATTTCTTCAACTTTCGAAAAAGGCATTTTTTTCAATCTTTTGGACATTCCCAGTAAATTTTTTTTGATCTTGAAGAGAAGAGAAGAACCCAAAACTTTGAGAGCTAAAGGAAGTCCTCTACAATATTTCACTGCACGAACTATGTTACCTTCATAACCTCCTGTTTGCTTGTCTTTGCTAAACACTTTTGATTTAAAGAGTTTTACAGCTTCATCTTCTTTTAATTCAGGAACCTCATTGAAAGGGAGATTTGTGCCAAACGATGACCGAGTAGTACCAAAATGGCAATTGGGTTGGGCCAGATTGAACCAACACGATGTACAGTATTGGGCTGAGCTAAGGCCTACACGGAGCATGGTGTTGGGCCGAGCTAAACCGAACCCACAAGAAGCGTAGTATTTCTTTTTTTAATCAACAACAAAAAACCCTTTATTGATGATGGAAATCCTTACAGAAAAGAAGAAAACATCAACAAAAAAGAGAGGGATGATGCAAGCCATCACATGGCAGCACCAAACTCAGGGCCGGCCCTGAGTTCGTCGGGGCCTAAGGCGAATTTTGAAAATGGGGGCTTTTTTATATTGAAAAAAAATTCATAAATAAAACGATAAGTTATAATTTTTTTTTTGTTTGTAACCATAAAAAAATTTACTTACACATATAATCATTAAAATTATAAATAAAACAATTTAATAAAACAAAATTAGAACAAAAAAATTAGGAAAAAATTATTCAATTAAAATTGATAAAGACCTAGGTAAAAAAATTTGAGCAAAATTATTTATTCCACTAAAATCTAATAGATAAAGAAGGTAAAAATAAAAAATAAAAAAAATAGGGCCCATATATTGTATGTATTATTTTTCTTGAGCCCAAACACTTTTTTTTAATATATATTTTCATTTTAATAAATATGGACCAAACTACACTTATAAATAAATATGGAGTAAATCATACATTGACCAAAAAAAATATTTTGAGACCCTTTAAATTGATCCTAAAACCAAAAAAAAAAAAAAACATTGAGCCTATAATATTTTATCAAATTTAGGGGCCCTATGTTATATATGTTTTACCAAATTTAGGGGCCCTATTGTTTTTTATTTATTTATTTATGTATTTTCATTTTAATAAATATGGGCCAAACACATTTATAAATAAATATGGACTAAATTATACATGGGCCCAATAAAACATTTGGGGCCCTTTAAATTGATCTTAAAACCAAAAAAAAAAAAAAAGGTTGAATCTATAACAATTTTTTAAATTTGGGGGCCTATTTTTGGGCCAAAATATGGGGCCTAAGGCACAAGCCTTACCTGCCTTAGGGCAGGGCCGGTCCTAACCAAACCAAGACCCTGTTGGTGAGAAACCAACAGAGACAGCAACCTAGTCAATACAGCAACCAACAGAGACAGCAATACAACATATACAAATCAAAATATAGGCATGCAACCTAATCCAAATACAAACAAATCAGAAATAGGCATGCAACCTAATGCTAGTAAAGGCCAAAAACAGCAGCAGATACACAGCTACAGATTAGCAGATTATCCTCAGATACAGAGTAGCAGACCAGCCACACAGCAGCAGAAAAATAGATTAGCAGATAAGTAAATTATCACCCAACAGACCCAGCATATTATCACCCATCAGTCCCACAAACAACCGTCAGATTATATCAGACCATACACCCCAAAAACCAGTCCACAATCCAACTCAACAGACTAAAAATTTATCAAAACCATGGCACTCCTCAATTGCATTCCTTAATCTGAGCCAAATTGATGATTATGTCCCAGACAAAGTACATGTTCCTTTTTACAGAAGCTTTAACCCATAAAGCAAATCTAATCTTTATCAGCTCACCTAGCTCCTAAGAAGCACGGGTGCGGGTACGAGTACGGTACGGGTACGCCGATACGGCAAAATCCCAAAAAAGTAGGGTACGGGTACGGCTGCGGCTGCGGTACGCCGATATTTTTTTATTTTTTTTTATTTTTTATAATTATGGTTAAAGATCCAAGCATAAAAATAATATTTTTGATTATTAACTAAACTGTTTTATAAGCATAAACTGTGGTGAAAAGCTTATACATCTAATTTAACTAAACTGCTTATTACATCCTATAAGCATAAACTGTTTTCAGGAATAACTAATTTTTTTGATTATTAGCATTTTCATCTCAAATTTTTTATTATTAATAACTAATAATAATATTTATGATTATTACCATTTATGATTATTAGCTTTTTCATCTCTAATATTTATTATTAATATTTATTAGCATTTTCAGTATTAATAACTAAAGAAGAAACAAGAAAATAAATAAAATAAATAAAGATGAAGTAATTTTTTATTATTAATAACTAATAATAATATTTATGATTACCATTTATGATTATTAGCATTTTCATCTCTAATATTTATGATTAATATTTATTAGCATTTTCAGTATTAATAACTAAAGACGAAACAATAAAAAAAATAAAAATAAATAAATATGAAGAGATATATCTCTGATGCCGTGGGTTGAAGTCGAGTCGAAGAGGAGGGTGATC